AGCCTAGGAATCCCACGCCATAATTTCCAAGACAATACTTTTATTTCAGATGAACACTCTGTGTTAGACCACACAATAAAAAGATAGCCAGACTATCTAATTTCTTTTAGATGGTGTATGAGTCTCCAATGATAAGGCCCAAGCACTGCAATGACAGTTAATATTTGACCACCTTTCTATCTGACCAATGCTGTCTGTTTAGTTCATTGTTTATGCCACCTAGTGCAGGAGTACATGTGGTCAGCTGTCCTTGACATCAACCCAATGCTCAGGAGCTACTTAATCTGTTACTATCTGTCATCTTCATAGTAGACAAAATGGCCCAAAGAAAACTATGATGATATGTTCTGTGATGTTCCATCAACCTAATGCAACTACGGGTCAGCAGACCCACTTTTTGCGATAGTAATTGCAACTTTCTTCTGGGTTATACCAAAAAATACCCATGCTGAGGGAAAAATCCTTTCCATGGGTTTCACCATTTAATCAAAGGCAAAGCAACAAATGCAGCACTACTAGGTACACCACACTAGGGCATGCATTTGTTTTAGAGTTGTCCCCAAAACAAAAGGTGAGAGGAAATCCTAAAATGAGGACACCTGTTTTGGGGTCATCCACCTAAGAGGGGAATTTCCCTCACTTCCTCTAACTTCCTGTAGAAGTTCTAGGACAGGAATGAAAGGAAAATGTCCCCAATGGGACACAGCCAACCTGGCAGGGGTTTTAACCCTTCCCTACTCTATCCTAAAAAAAGAGTTTTGGGAATGTACTGTATGCACTTTGGGCAACATAGTCTGGTTAAGGGCCATGCCTCAGCTTGTGACTGGAACATCAAGGAGCAGCAGCATACAGATGAGGTTGCCCCTGTGCTTTCTATTTGATCCACATGTGGGAATGTGGGGTACTTTAGAGGCAGGGTAGGCTGACAGTTAACTTTGGGGATCGATCCTTAGCCGGTTGTAGGGTGTGAATATAAAGTTGGGCAACAGTCACTTTAAGGGTTTTCAGAGATTTTTATTCCTTCAGCAGCTCACATGGTAGTGAGGGTAAAGGGTTACAGACAACTAGAAGAATATAGACCCCAGCCTCACTGACCAATTCCCAGCTTCACAGTGCAGAGGGCCTTTAAACTGATTGCAACAACACTGTGTATTGTAGAACTTTAGCTGGTTGGTAGACATAGCACAAAACTCCCCTGGTGTGAAAGCAGAGTTCCTGCAAGGTTCAAGCCCAGTTCTGGCTTCTCTGCCACCTCCAACAGATGAAGTTCCTCCCTGGTTCTCCATCCAAGGCACAGCTTCCTCCTGCACTGGCAGAACAGCTGCAGACCCCGACTGCATCTCCATACCTGAACACCTGCAGGCTGCAGGCCTGGTCAAACAGTGCTTCACTTCACACACCCTCCAGGCAGGAGGCTCGGGGGGAATAGAGAGTCTCAAATGGTCATCCCCGAATGTTTATGTCCTCCCTCGGCATGCACTACTGGCCATGAACATCGTAGCGATTGTCTTATAACAACTTTCCTTTAAACACAGTGTATTCATTCGTGATGAATTCCTGAAACTTAGGCCAATTTTTCTGTGGAAGTCGTTAAAACCCTTTCGCAGCAGAAATCATTGAGAAGACATTTTCCACTGACCACTGAAGGTAATTGGGGAACCTTTTTTTTATTGTACTTTCATCTGGCTCTTACATACAATGAAGAAGGAAGACAAAAAGCAAGCCAAGCGTGTGTGAATGTATAATGATATTTCTATAGATCTGTGTGTGGGTCGTGCCCCTCGCCATCCATTACTTCTAACAAAATCACTTTAAATGCGGCCATTACTCCTCGCATTACTCCTCGCACGTGTGATCGGGATAATCTAATACTTGCAATTCTCTCTTTTTTTTCTGAGTGGCTCCTAAACGATATACCCATCATCAACTCACACAATGATCTTCACGGGGTGATAAACTGTCCTATTAACACTTGTTCTACCTCTTGACCTCGCCCTTATGGCTCTAACAGATGTCATGGTCGGTTTGGGTTTGCATGCTTCAAATCCAGATCTATACAATGAGATGGTAATGAAATGGAGAGAGCTGGAGAAAAACTGAACAGAGAAGATCATATATATCAATTGTTATATACAATGAGCTGCAATAACCTTCTATAATGTCTCTAGAGTTGACAGACAGCGATGCCCATGTGAAAGGGTTGTTAGGGGAGTTTTAGGTTTCTTAGTGGCCTGCAGCAATTGGGTCTCCGGTCCTGGCCAGGACACTATCTGGATGGAGTTTGCACGTTCTCCCTGTGCTTGTGTGGGTGTCCTCTGGGTACTCCGATTTCCTCCCACACTCCAAAGACATACTGCTAGGTTAATTGGCTCCTGTGCAAATTGGTCCTAGTGTGTATGTATGCATGTGAGATAGAGACCATATATTGTAAGCTCCTTGAGGGCAGGGACTGATGTGAATATACAATATGTCAAGCACTGTGTAAATTGATGGCACTATATAAGTACCTGTAATAAATAAATAATAGGTGTTGGGTTAAGTGTTGAGAGTTAATTGTAAAGTTGAACTCCAGGCAGAAATAAACAACCCAAATTAATGCAGCTTTGTAATCATTAATACGTAATTACATTTTTAAATACAAGCAGTATAAGTACTTGAGTTTGACCTGTACAGGTATTCCCTGTACAGCAAGGCTGGAGTGCAAAAGGAAGAAGCAGGACAAGGAGCCAATTGGTTCATGTGCTGACAAGAAGAATGCTGCTGGGAGGAGAATGCAGAATAACAAAGAGATGAACTCATCACTGTGCTGCTTCTTCTTGTCACGTACCTGGTTAGAGACTGAATGCGTGAGAAGGCCTCCCTTGCACCTCGTGTCCCAAGGACTCTGGAGTTGGGGACAGAGTCCAAGCAGACAGTGAATGGCAACGGTGCCAATGGTGATCACACCGTGCAAGCTGGAGTCAAGGTGCTGGGTGAAGAGTAGAGCAGGATTCGTAATCGGAGTCAAACGAGCCACGGTCACACCGATCGGGCAGGCAAGGTCCAGTAAATGATCCAAGGTCAAGGGCAGGCAGAAATAAAGAATGGTCACAAACAATCCGGGTCAGAAGTCAGGCAATACAAGAAAGAAGAACACAGGAACACTGGGGAGCTTAATGACAATCCAGCAATTTGGAGACAGGCAGGCTTGGTTTAAATAGTGTAATCTATTAGCGCACCGTGTCACTTCCTGTGCGCCGCTTGGCGCGCTCTTTTTTACAGCCACTCTGTGGCGTGCGCAAGTGCCTGTTTTCCAATGGTATGGAAAACGGGACCCCGCGCACGCGCAATACCAGATGGTCTCTGACATTCTTTCACTGTCCTGTCACAGGCAGGAGGTGGGTGCAGGACAACCTAGGCTCAGATAAAGCGAGTTGAATGTTGTTAGTCATCAGAATGAGGGCTTAAAAAAAAAAGTACTGCAGGGGAAGTCAATGGGCTGAAGGTGAATATTGCAGCAAAAAGCTGGTTTTGTTATTTGATCTTTTAAAAGGCTCCTAATGCTTATTTTGTTATTTTTGGCAGAAGTACTGCTCTGGGTGTTATGTATAGTACCAAGAGTGGAGTGGCAGCTAAAGGTTAGGTGTCGTGAAGGGTTAGAGGCAGTGGCGTAACAATCACCATAGCGACCCAGGCGGCCGCTATGGGGCCCGGGGCACAAGGGGGTGTGCTCTGCAAGGGGTTAACTAGAAATTGCAGTGGCCCCATAGAAAATTTTGCTATGGGGCCCTCTGATCTCTAGTTACGCCCCTGGTTAGAGGTCAGCAATATGCTTGTGTAGATATTTGTTCTAATTAGCAGCCTGCTAGAAAAACAGCACCGAAGGTCCGGAGTCAGAATTTGCTTATTAACATTAACATTGTTATTAATTTGCTTAATAAATGAATTGCATCAGAGCTCTTGCATCACCTGCACCTGTTTTATGGGGGTGTTTTAATAAAATACCAGGGACGGTATTTACTGCTAATTTTTATTTAGTTCAAAAATTAGTTATTATGAAATGCAGATGTTTTTATGGGGATGCCAACGTGTTTCGTGCTAAACAACTGCCCGCCTTCATCAGAGCTTAAAGTGACACTACACTCGTGAATTAAATCTTGCAAATGCATTCAAGGACCTTAACTATTAAAAAAATTTGATCTTATTTGTGTATCACTCGGCTGTAGATCTTCAAATCCTCTCTGAATTGGTGTTGACACTGTCCTTCCTTCTGGAGGGGGGCTACTTTTGATCCGCTTGGTCCCACCATGGTTTCCTCTGATTCCTCAGAGAAAACCAAGCTCCTGGCAACCAGTGACGTCACTAGTTATCAGGAGCTGGACGGGACACTGACCAGAGCGTGGCAGCTTTCTAAAAGATGTGTATGGCCATGCCCAGTTTTTAGCAACCTAGGATGCTCTGGCCGGCATCCCGTTCAACTCCTGGAAACCAATGTTGTCACTGGTTGCCAGGAGCTGGGTGGGATGCCGGTTAGAGTGTCTTGCTGGTATATACATCTTCCCACCTGCTCTGGTTGCTAAGAGCTGGCAGGGAGATGTGTATAGGAGAGCGGTGGGGAGAAAAAAAAAGTCAGCTGTCTTCGTAGTGGGTGAACTTATGCTGACTAATTGAGCAGTGCCCCCCCTTCAAGTGGCACCCAGGGCATGTGCCTTATGTGCCATACCCTGGATAGGCCACTGGGTTCAGGATATTTTAATAGTCTTTTCCAGTGCAATACTTTATTTTAAGATGTTATCATTTGGGTTTTCAGGTTTATTTCAGCTTTCTTTCAAGAGTGGATTTTGTTAGTGTTGGCACTGGTTGTGCCCAAATATACATGAACCAAAATGCCCTACTGAAATAATGCACCATAAAGAGTCGGGCACTCACTACTATACAGACCTTCATGTTTGCAGCATCTGCAGTCGTCAGTGTACGAAAGAATTCTTGTGATGAAGACTTGTCTGCTTATCTCTTTGCAGTGGCACACGGCAAGGTGTTCCGGTATTGCACCCTGGAGGGCACCTGGCTAGTCAGAGATTCCAAGGAGAACTCTACTGTCCCCTGGAGGAACCTGTCAGAATGTGAGGACCAGTCATTGAAGGTAACTAGCGTAATGTTGAGTTCTCATCTGTGTGTATGTGTGTGTATATACAATTTTGATGAATTAGCTTTATGTTATGTTATGTAAGCAAGGAGAGCAATATATCTTCAGTATAGGAAATAATTTTTTCTTGTAAGTGCAGTGAAATGTGAACTCTTGACAGATAAAATATATACCTTAAGCTCATCGATACATTGTTAAAGGAGGAGTGCAGGGAGATTCAAATATATTCTCCCCGCTGCTTAGAGCTGGCATGGGACACTGCAGCTGTTTTATCGGCTCTACAATGGGAGCTGAAGATTATGTAGCCATCGATTGTTCAGCTCTTGGTGTCTTCTCCCTGCACTTACCCTCTCTGTTCCTCCATTGTTCATTGGCCGGACAGACAGAGAGGGGACAGGCATAGCTACCTCTGGCTCTAAAGAGACAATATTGTCTAGAACCTTCCCAGATGCAGCATGGCTCTGCGCTGGGTTACAGAAGTACATTAGTAAATGTATACAAAAAAATTATATATATATATATATATATATATATATAAACATCAAAACATGAACATCAGTGCACAAAAAGTCCCATAAAAGTGAAAATTCAAAAGTGATCACAAAGGAAAAGTGATGGAAAAAAGTGGAAAGTGATAGCAGTGCCAATAGCGATCTTCTTATCCAAACTCTTGTATACCACGCACTAAACAGATGCTCCAATCCACACGTGATAAAGAGTGGTGCGCAGGTGGGTGCTCACCTGAGCTGATAACCAATAAAGGTTATAAAACACTGTTCCCTTCTTGGCAGGGAGGGACACCCTCTAGGCATATACACCAGACCAGTTCATAATGATATCCATCCAGAAAGAGATAAGCAATAAACACATAGTGCGTATCGTCCAGATAAATAATAAATGATGAAGTCATGTGAGACGAAACGCACGTAGGGTGGGCGGAGTTACTGACGTCACTATTTTGATCCGTGCCGGAAGGACGGGAGAGCATCCTCGTTCGTGGAGTATTGAGCTGGACTATTGCTTGTATTCCTCTCCGCTCTTCTGTTTTAACTTATTCCATGTGAGTACGTTTTTAAATATTAAAGTTTTATTATTTATCTGGACGAAATTATGCAATATATGCAATATACAAAATAGAGTATGGGACCCCAGAGTTAATACATGCACTAAAAAGAATATGTATAAAAATAAAACATAAAATTATATACAACATTTTTTTATTTGTTAAATATAAATAAGCAAACACCAATGTCAATGCCACATGCCCACAAGTAAAGGACAAGTCAGAGAGAAGGGAGATTTACTTTGTACCCCCATCCCTCCAGAAGCACTATAGTGTCGCTCAAAAAACAGTTCAAATCGAAGTCTATATTAAGACCTCTGGGTGTTAATGAGTCCAATAAATAAATCCACTTGGATTCATTTTTTGATACTTGTCTGGTGAGGTTGGATCCCCTCCAATGTGGCTCACTTTTATCAATACCCACTACTTTCATCCCTTCCGGGTCCCGGTTATGATACAATCTAAAGTGTCTGGATAAACTATGTTTATAAAACCCTCTTTTGGTGTTATAAACATGTTCCTCCAATCTTTTTCTTAACTCCCTGGTGGTCCTACCCACATATTGAAGGCCAAAGGGACATTTCAATAAATAGGTTACAAATTTACTGTGACAGGAAAAAAACTTGTATATCTTGTAGGGTTGCACAGATACCAAGTACAGTACTCGGTACAAGTACGAGTACATGTACCGATACTTTTGAGCTCCAAGACTACACTAGAGAAAAATTCAAAAATTAGGAGGCAGCTGTCATTTGTAGGGAGCACACGGAGCTCCTGGGATTAGTACATCTCTGTTTTAATGTACGATTGTGTTTTTATAAATATAAATAAAGGGATGCACAGATACCAGTTTTGCGAGTACGAGTACTGGTACTTGCAGAGTACTTACAAGTATGAGTACTGATACATTTTTGTTTATTGTCATGTGACAGTTTTTCTAAATCAATACAAGCTAATGATTTCAGGACAGTGATGGAGTGCCAGAGCCAGGTCCAATCTGCAACCGCTGCAACCCTGGTAGTTCTCATGAAAATGTCAAGTATCTGCACTGGTACTCGAAAAGTATCTGTGCAACCCTAATATCTTGTATTCTTTATGGTTAACATTAGATTTAAACTTTTTTCTTAGTCTCTGTGGCTTTGCAACTAACAAATTTTTTACAAGGGTATTTGTGGCTGTGTCTGTAAAATTTCAGTGAGGTTTCATTAACCTTTGTCTGGCGGCTTTAAACTGTTGATCCCTTTTTAGCTCACCTGTCTCCTAATTAGCGCAGTAAATCAAATTCATCATTTGATTTACTATATGCAGTCAGCAGTGGATCACTATTAGTAGTGATCTATTACTGCAGAGCTCCATGGTAAAGCTAGATCAGATCCCCACTGACCAGACCCAGACTCCTGCGCTCATGCAAAAATATGGAAAATAAGCGTAAACAAAATTATACATTACGTAAAGCAAAAACATAAATAAAAAGTGAACTGCATGGTGCAAAACATCTGGCCCTTAGCAAATAGGACATAGGCTTAGGGGCTGCATGACCAGGTTGAAGGGGTGCCAGCTGGCGGGTTAAGAGAATAAAAAATAGAAGGTCCTCCTACCTGATTGATACGGAGGGTTCTTTGCAATGGTCAGCAAAGAGGAGCAGAGCATTCTTAGGTTGACCAGCAGCCAAGGAGCTTCCCCCTCTTCTGTCCTACATTTTGTTTCCTGTTACTAATTATTCTTTGTTTAGACATGGCAGCTAGAGTGTGGCCTGAGGGTCTTTGAAAGTGTTTATTTGGTAAAAGTGGGTTCTGTCTAAGATATGGTATCACATTTTAGTGTGGTCCAGTTGGTGAGACTCAGGATTGGTGTATGGTTGGATATTTGCAGTAGGTCTCTATTATTGCCCCTGCTGCATTGTAGTGCCCTTGGGGGCCCCCTGTATAGGGAAAACTGATCCCTGCTAATCACATGTTCAAGCCTCTGCTATGTTAATTATTATTATTATTATACAGGATTTATATAGCGCCCACAGTTTGCGCAGCGCTTTACAATATAAGGGGGACATTACAATCACAATACAATTCAAGACAAGATGATAAGGAGGGCCCTGCCTCTGAGGGCTTACAATCTGAAAGAGGAGGGGCAAGTGATACATGAGGAGGGAGCTGTGTGGGAATGAATTGTTTGAGAATGTGATGGTTCAGTGGTTAGGTTGAGGTGGGATAATTAGCGTAATATTTTGTTTAAAACATCATACTGCATTTATTTATATTTATAATTCATATTTAATGAGTTGTATGAATAGGCAAAGCTTTGTAGGTCGAGGTAACTAGAGTTCATGTAGAACATTTAGGCCTTATAGAGGGAGGTAACAAGAGTTTGGTGACATAAAGTCATAAACATGTTTTCTGACCTTGGCTTAAGAAACAATGGATTCAATGCCAAGACAGTTGTCCTCTAACCTTGCTGTGAGGGAGTCTTATCAAGACAAGAAGGCCCATCTAATGTTCTTGGCATGATCTAATACGAGTACACGGTGCCATTACTGTGGGATTTTTGTAGATACTTCAAGGTAACACAGATGGTTTTATCATTCAAATCTCTATAAAAAGGGGCCTGCGTTTCCATAATAATTGACTGTGCCTGAAGTGCTCCATGTTCCCGGCCAGCCAAATAAACTTACTTCTTGAAGATCTGCCTAGTGTCGACCCTCCATTTATTCTATTTAATTTGGCAAAGTTATCTCACCTGAGTGCTGCTAATCAATGTAACAATTGGGGAAGAGTCCCCCCTTTACATTGCTAAGTAACAGAATTTGGGGTGCAGATACAATGCTCTGGTTGGATGTTTCCTTCTGGTGCCTTTAAGGACTATCACCCATTCTTCTTGTTAGTTAATGTTAATTATTTGCTATTATTTGTTTTATATTAGACTGGATTTTTTAAATAAAGGGCTGCAAGGCTGGTAAATCACACTCTTGTGTTATCTATGTTTGCTCTCAGTAAAGGCTCCGGGTAAGGATGGATATGGTCTAGTGGCAGTAGTGGGGGGCTCCCTCTGAAATACCCTTATGATGGCAAATCATAAAGAAACACCTTGCTACTGTCAGACTCCTGTAGCCCCCATCACATTCTGTGATGTGGCTACTAGACATTCACTAATAGCTAGGGCTGTAGTCAGCCTAGCTGGAATTATAGTGGCAGATATCTGGTTAATTCCAGGTGTCTGGCATTGCCTGTACCCCCAGGGCCGGATTTACTCCCCCTGCCGCCCCAAGGCCAAGTTCCACAATACGCCCCCCCCCCGCCCTGCCATCTGGTTGCCAACATTTTTTATTTTTAATGAATGTCATTTTTTTCCACCTAACTTTATTGCTATCACACAGGAGTTAACAAGCCCCTGTGTGATAGCAAGGTAGACGGCTACTTCCTCCGGCGTCAATCCACATTAACAGGACGCAGGAGGAGTAGCTGGGGGGAGGAGAAATCCGGGCCTGTGTACCCCCATGGGTGGAGTGTGACTCTGTCATATTGTGGGATAGCCAATGATAGGCACTGTAGTGAATGTACGGTACAGCAGCCAATCACTGGGTTTCTCTCAGCCAGTGGTGCATGCTGGGATCGGGTACATATACTGGTGGGATTTGCCATGTGCTCAGACTAGCCGGGACCAGCCAGGATAGGCCTGAGGCCTGGCCATAAGAGGGCAATCATTATGGTCCACTGAGATGAACACATGCTGGGGTATGTCCTGCTTAGCAGACTCACTAGATCTCAGGTACATGTCTTCATATACATCTGTTTGGGAAAAAATCTCCAGCAAAATCCAGCTGTCGTTTAAACTGTGTGATCCCCTTTCTGCAGTACCATGGGGTGTGTTACCACATTCACATTAGACAATGCAGCCTATTCATTTTTAATTGCTTGCCAGAGTACCACAACACACCAAAGGTCAGACTTCTACTTGTACAGGTGGGCAATCTGCAGTGTACAACCAGTTGTGCCATATCATGTGTTTCCACAATGCGGAGGAGAGATGTCAGCCTAAAAGGTAAAATGTTGCTATGTGAAATGCGATGGGTGTTGTACAAAGAGAATGAAGGCATGTCTTTCTATATTGTGCCCCCAGGTGCAGCCGGAAGAGGAGCTGTCCTCTCTCTCCATTATCTATACCATTGGATACTCCTTGTCCTTCTCAGCGCTGGTCATCGCTTCCATCATCCTGGTGATATTCAGGTAATCTGCACCCCATATTAGATGAGTGTTACTTTTTTACCACCCTCACTAGGACTCAGCAGCATAAGTTCTTCACATTAACCTATTATAAATGTAGGCTGACAGATACCTGGGGTGAGGGGTGCAGTCTACTGAAGGCTGTAGTCCATTATTGGAATGTTAAATCTGTCATATCTGGAAGTGGACGGCACACTATCTTTATTTTTGCTTGTGCTTTTGCTTTATACATTGTATGTTAATTCCTATTGGATAGTACACATTGGTACCATGTGCAAAAAAATATTTGTTAAGGCTATTGCATTGGAGGTGCTATAAAGTACCCCAGAAGACTGATAGTGGTCCTAAAATTTCAAAGCAAATATTGCATTTTTGAATATTGGTATTTGCATAGTCCTAGGCGTAACTCCTGCCTTTCTCCCATGTTGGGAGACATAGCTGTAGATCGTTAAACCTGTTATTTGTGGTGCTTGTTCTTGTCCTGCTTTTAGACTATTGGTAGGGTGTCCTTTCGCCGATATAACATGTTGAGGGGGCATATAAGGGTATGGAAACTTGAATCCGTTATTAGTCAAATAGACAAAATGCCAGCAGGATATGATCGTATGACAAATAGAAAGCATGCAGATATCAGCTGTGAGACTATTTCTGCTTTTTTCAAAGGGAAGACTATTTTATGCATGTTTCCAAACAAGCTGACTCATAGTCCTATGTATAACTCAAACTAAAACAGTGCACATGTTTCTGACACTAAAGGAGTCTGTAGATTCCAGCTAGCTAAGCAAATTATACTCGAATGTTCATATAATGAAAAGGTCCATAACAAATAAACCTTCGGTTCAGGGATCCATAAAACGGTCAACCCGTATCTTCCCAAGGGACTCCAAATCATCACCAAGAGGGATTCTCACCAGCACATCATCCTTCATAATGCATTTGCAATTCTCTGTACATGTGCAGTGCAGCATACGTGCTTAGTCCACTCCCAGCATCTGTAAGATGCCAAGATGCCAAGAAAATGTGAATGTGCAGGTATTACATTATTAGTGGCCACCCAATGGTCCAAGAATGAAGACCCTGGTTCAGAAGAAGTAAAGGAGTAAAAAGTGGTGGCATCAGAGCAAGCAACAGCAAGACTGAACCAGTCACTGTGGGATGAGAGCAAGCTAAGGGGTACATCTGCCATAAGGTGGACGTTTTCTGTGTATTATGGCAAGAATGCCTGCACCCTAGTGAAAGTTTAGTTCCCCTGTAATTTTTGATACAATTTAGTCACTCTTAGATACTTCCACACAGGTTGCAGGTACCTGGAGGTTTGGGACAATTTTTTCTTGGGGAATCTCAGAAACCTAGATGTTTTCCTCACACCCAACTCTTCCACTATCCAATAAGAAAGCCTCATTAGCAGAAATGACAACTAAAATGTGTGATGGGGAGACTGAGCCAAAGTTCTAATGAGGCCCAGACCCTTAGAAGGCGGCTGTCCCTGGATGAACACAAAATGGTTAGCTGAGGGCTCCAGGCAATTGTAACCAATTTTAGGGGGGGAAAAATAGTCCGGAAAACATTTTGTCAATGGCAATAAAAAGCAGTATAAAGCAATAAAAGAATAATTGTAGAAGAGCTTGCAAAGGGAGATTAAGGGTTATCATAGTCCAAAATGCACTGCCAACAGAGTCAGTGATGGATCATTTGGAGGAAATATTGAGAGTAGATAGGAAGCATGTCTTATGGAGAATGCCATCTTATGGATAATATCGTCTTATGGAGAATGCCATCTTATGGATAATATCGTCTTATGGAGAATGCCATCTTATGGATAATATCGTCTTATGGAGAATGCCATCTTATGGATAATATCGTCTTATGGGGAATGCCATCTTATAGATAAGGTCATCTTATGGAGAATGCCATCTTATAGATAAGGTCGTCTTATGGAGAATGCCATCTTATAGATAAGGTCGTCATATGGAGAATGCCATCTTATAGATAAGGTCGTCTTATGGAGAATGCCATCTTATGGATAAGGTCGTCTTATGGAGAATGTCATCTTATAGATAAGGTCGTCTTATGGAGAATGTCATCTTATACATAAGGTCGTCTTATGGAGAATGCCATCTTATGGATAACGTCGTCTTATGGATAACGTCGTCTTATGGAGAATGCCATCTTATAGATAAGGTTGTCTTATGGAGAATGCCATCTTATAGATAAGGTCGTGTTATGGAGAATGCCATCTTATGGATAAGGTCGTCTTATGGAGAATGCCATCTTATAGATAAGGTCTTCTTATGGAGAATGCCATCTTATAGATAAGGTCGTCTTATGGAGAATGCCATCTTATAGATAAGGTTGTCTTATGGAGAATGCTATCTTATAGATAATGTCTTCTTATGGAGAATGCCATCTTATAGATAAGGTCTTCTTATGGAGAATGCCATCTTATAGATAAGGTCGTCTTATGGAGAATGCCATCTTATGGATAAGGTCGTCTTATGGAGAATGTCATCTTATAGATAAGGTCGTCTTATGGAGAATGTCATCTTATACATAAGGTCGTCTTATGGAGAATGCCATCTTATGGATAACGTCGTCTTATGGATAACGTCGTCTTATGGAGAATGCCATCTTATAGATAAGGTTGTCTTATGGAGAATGCCATCTTATAGATAAGGTCGTGTTATGGAGAATGCCATCTTATGGATAAGGTCGTCTTATGGAGAATGCCATCTTATAGATAAGGTTGTCTTATGGAGAATGCTATCTTATAGATAATGTCTTCTTATGGAGAATGCCATCTTATAGATAAGGTCTTCTTATGGAGAATGCCATCTTATAGATAAGGTCGTCTTATGGAGAATGCCATCTTATAGATAAGGTTGTCTTATGGAGAATGCCATCTTATGGATAACGTCGTCTTATGGATAACGTCGTCTTATGGAGAATGCCATCTTATAGATAAGGTTGTCTTATGGAGAATGCCATCTTATAGATAAGGTCGTCTTATGGAGAATGCCATCTTATGGATAAGGTCGTCTTATGGAGAATGCCATCTTATAGATAAGGTCGTCTTATGGAGAATGTCGTCTTATGGATAACGTCGTCTTATGGATAACGTCGTCTTATGGAGAATGCCATCTTATAGATAAGGTTGTCTTATGGAGAATGCCATCTTATAGATAAGGTCGTGTTATGGAGAATGCCATCTTATGGATAAGGTCGTCTTATGGAGAATGCCATCTTATAGATAATGTTGTCTTATGGAGAATGCCATCTTATAGATAAGGTCGTCTTATGGAGAATGCCATCTTATAGATAATGTTGTCTTATGGAGAATGCCATCTTATAGATAAGGTCGTCTTATGGAGAATGCCATCTTATAGATAAGGTTGTCTTATGGAGAATGCTATCTTATAGATAAGGTCGTCTTATGGAGAATGCCATCTTATAGATAAGGTCGTCTTATGGAGAATGCCATCTTATAGATAAGGTCGTCTTATGGAGAATGCCATCTTATGGATAAGGTCGTCTTATGGAGAATGACATCTTATAGATAAGGTTGTCTTATAGAGAATGCCATCTTTTAGATAATGTTGTCTTATGGAGAATGCCATCTTTTAGATAATGTTGTCTTATGGAGAATACCATCTTATAGATAATGTGGTCTTATGGAGAATGCCATCTTATAGATAGGGTCGTCTTATGGAGAATGCCATCTTTTTATGGAGAATGCCATCTTATAGATAAGGTCGTCTTATGGAGAATGCCATCTTTTAGATAATGTTGTCTTATGGAGAATGCCATCTTATAAGGTCGTCTTATGGAGAATGCCATCTTATAGATAAGGTTGTCTTATGGAGAATGCCATCTTATAGATAAGGTTGTCTTATGGAGAATGCCATCTTATAGATAATGTTGTCTTATGGAGAATGCCATCTTATAGATAAGGTCGTCTTATGGAGAATGCCATCTTATAGATAAGGTCGTCTTATGGAGAATGCCATCTTATAGATAAGTCATCTTATTATGGAGAACGCTGTCAACGGTTTTGGCTTTCGAATTGGGCAGCAGGGAATTACTGATCCAGTGATCTAGCTTTATTATAATATTTGGTGCCAGGAATTGTGTGTTTAGATGTGTTCAGAACATTGTGAAGGCTTCAATTACTTAATTTTTTTTTGCTTTCATCCCAGTTTGTGTTAGTTTACTATGGCGTGTTGTTGCCTTCCTGGGTCTAGTGTTATTTTTCATGCCGTGATGCTACTTCATTTGGGATTTGATGGTTCAGCCTATTTTGACCTTCTTGAAGATTTTGCTTTTTCGCTGGAGATGCACAGCCACAGTCTAATTTTGTTCTTTGCAGCATTGTAATGATACTAGGTATTAGAGAATGAGATGCTTCCCTGGGGGGTTTTGATGCTTTGCGGTGTATCGTGTTGGGGACTTTTTTAGAATCAGTATACATTCAAAGATTTTAACGGGTTAAATTTGACAGGTTTGCACATTTCTTTCCCAACCCCCATAGCAATGTAGCAGTGACAGTTGATTAATGTATATCCATGGTATAACTCGCCCTCCATGTGTCTATAATTGACGTGGGCGAGCAGGGCACAGAAATACACAAGGCGTGCAGAAAATCATCATGTGGGAGGAAGGATACAGTTGTTATATACTTTTCATATGGAAAGTATCCCCCCCTTCTCCTTCCATTGATTGAATAATGTTATTCCGAAGACGTGACGCCTGCACCGTGCAATATGTGAAGGTTGCAATCAAAGTGTCATTTGTTATGATTTCCAGGAATTGAATCAACCAGAGGATATTGAACATTCAGCTTATTGTATCTGGAATGCTCTCCATTTCTTTCCAATAAAGACATAACATGTAACTCCTGTGACATAAATCCGTAGGTTGCCTCCGCAGCAAACAGGCAAATCTGGTACATGGCATTACTAATTGCGTTCCTTTATGTTCCAGACTGTTAACAATTGACAGGTGACATTTCTGTAACTTTACAAGTATGCATCATTTTTTCAAAAAAGCTCCCCCTTTGACCTCTAGTCAGTGACTTTGCCTAGGCTGTGATGATGTCATCAGTCTGCTGCAGGGAGGAGGAAGCATTTTCTCTGTCCCCCCTCCCCCAGTGATCAGTTGGCTACAGGCAGGAGGAAGCATTTCCTCAGTCTCCACTCCCTCGGAGATCACAAGGTTGGAGGCTGCAGCAGGGGGTGATCTGTGTCAGGCACCAGTATTTACATGATTGTATATTCTCTAAGCCAGCATCACAGTCTAGATGGTGACCCTGGATGATGCTTGAACAAAGATGGTGCTGTGCTTCTGGAGGGAAAATCTGTGGTTAAAAAAAGGTGCAATATTAGGAGCACATTTGTTGGGGCAAATTCTGTTCACATGGCATTCCCATCACTAGATGGAGCCAAGAGTGATAGGAATTTCTTATGCATCTCAGCTCCATCCAGTGGTGGGAATGCGAACTAACAGCTTTCCACCGGGGCATGGCTAGTGTGCACGACTGTATACACATAACAGTAATTGTTTTTGCAAAGCTCCGCCCTCCTTGCAAAGTAACCTTGTACTTAACACAAGGGCTTCTTTCCCACCTGCATGTGCCCCAAAGATGAGGTGGGGCTAAGAGAAAAATGGTCGGATTTCTGGTGGAATCTGGAAGCCCCCTTTTAAATTAAGGGGAGACAAAATGTTTGCCCCCTCCCAGGGAAATGATTACAAGGGTACATTAGTACCCCTTGCCCATTCCACAAGGATTTACAAGTAAAAAAAACCACACCAAATTAAAAATCCCTTAATTAAAGAAATGCAAGCATACTTACAGGCTTTTATGAATGGAGTTCATTAATGTCCCCAGAAGTAAATCCACCATCAATAATGGCGTTGTATGAGGTAATCAACGTCAATCACAATGATCCATTGCCTACTGATGTGTACATGCTTCCGCCTCCAAATAACAGATTCCCAGCTGCAGTCATTTAAATTTACCACCGGACATCCTAGGTGACGTCATTCACCAATTGGTCCTGACCAAATTGACCGCCTGATGTCACTGACCAGATACTCCTGACCAAATTTATTGGCAGAAACCACAGGTGATGTCATTGACCAAATGGTCCCGTCTAAAAATTTACCACTGGACATTCCAGGTGTTGTCATTGTCCAAATAATCCCGACCAAATTTACAGCTGAAAATTCCAATTACGTCATTGACCAAATAATCACCAATTGACCAAATTTCCTAAAATTATTTGGTCAATTTGCCAGATGTCATTGACCAAATAATCCTGGCCAAATTTACCACTGAACATTCCGTGTGACGTCATTGACCAAATAATGATGAGCAAATTTACTGTCAGACATCATTGACCAAATGGTCCTGACTAAAAATTTACCACTGGACATTCCGGGTGATGTCATTGAAAATAATCCTGACCAAATTTATTGGCAGCAACCACGGATGATGTCATTGACCAAATGGTCCCAACTAAAAATTTACCAATGGACATTCCGGTTGATGTAATTGACCAAATAATTCTGACCAAATTTACCACTGAAAATTCCAATGACGTAATTGACCAAATATTCATAAACACATTTCTTGCCAGATGTCATTGACCAAATGGTCCTGACTAAAAATTCACCATTGGACATTCCAGGTGAAGTCATTGACCAAATAATCCTGACCAAATTTATTGTCAGCAACCACGGGTGATGCCATTGACCAAATTTACCACTGACAATCACAATGACGTAATTGACCAAATAATCCTGGCCAAATTTATGTGCAGCAATCACAGGTGACATCATTGACCAAAAGGTCCGGATTAGAAATGTACCACTGGACATTCCAGTTGATGTCATTGACCAAATAATCCTGATCAAGTTTACCACTGGACATACTGGGTGACGTCATCGACCAAAAAATCAATTTACCGCCGGACATTACAGTTGATGTCATTGGCCAAATTATTCTGACCAAATTTACCACTGGACATTCTGTGTGATGTCATTGACCAAATAATCATGTATACATTTACAGCCAGACATCAATGACCAAATGGTCCTGACTAAAAATGTATCAATGAACATTCCGGGTTGATGTCATTGACCATATAATCCTCACCAAATTTATTAGCAGCAATCACAGATGATGTCATTGACCCAAAGGTCCTGACTAAAAATTGACCACTGGACATTACGGGTGACGTCATTGACCAAATCACCCTGACCAAATTTACTGGTGGAAATCTTGGGTGACTTCACTGTTTTTTTATGGTCAATGACATGACACGGGATTCCTGGTGGTAAATTGAAATGACAGGAAATCTGTCATTTAGCGGTGGAAGTGTGGTGTGTTCAGCCCTCCTGAATGATGTCACCATTGACTTCAATGTTCAGATTCATGTTTGGGCTTATTGCTGATTGTTGGCCCCTTCACTCAAACTGCTGACAAGTTAAACACGGACGTGTTCAAGCAACAGTAATAGTTATTTTAGAATTTCACAGCGCTGTGTCCTCGGCAGTGGTATCATTTATCCATTTCAGTTTGCTGCTCTTTGCATTATTCAGCAGAAATCTTCCTATCGTGTTCAGAGAACAGAACTCTCACCAGTGACTGAGCCGCAGCTGCTCCTATAGACTTAGACAAAAGTCAACTTTCTCAGGTCATGCCATAAATGTGTCTGTGTATTTAAAGTGTATACATAGTCAAATGTTTTGTTTCTTTTTAGTTCTGAATAGAATAGGGAAGGACTAAAACCTGTCAATTTATTTTTATGTGTGTTTGTGTCCCATGGGAGAGATTTTCCTTCACTTCCTGTCCTAGAGATACAACAGGAAGTGAAAGGAAATCTGTATAAAGCAAGGGAAAATCCCGTGTGACACAATTGTTACCAGAAACCGGTGTTACTATTAGAATTGTCCCTCCATCTCCTGTTCTGGAGACAACTGTAAAGCTTCAGACTTCCAAAGCACTTTCTGTCTCAGTGACAATGGTGACCAGGACAGGAGAGGGGGAATGTTCCTAATCACAGCAAAACAGGTTTGCTCATACACTGATCCTGGCTTTTTTTTTTTAAACATTGAAACAAATTATTAATTCTATAATTGTACCATTTCTGAGTCCTCCCAACTCCTCATAACATCAAAGCCCTAAAAACCTTCTTCATGGCTTTGATGTTATGAGTAGTTGGGAGGACTCAGAAATGGGGAGATCTTTGAGCACCCAAAATGTGTAGGATGTTTTATGTTTTCCTGTTATGAATAAAATAAATGTAAGAAGACTTGGTCTGGCGCTCTCATTAGTCTTTGTACGCATGGATTTTCATCTCCGGTAGGGATGCACAGATACTTTTCGAGTACCAGTGCCGATACTTGGCATTTTCATGAGAACTACCAGGGTTGCAGTGGTTGCAGCTGGGACCGGGCTCTGGCTCTCCACCACTGTCCTGAAATCATTAGTCTGTATTGTTTTAGAAAAACTGTCACATGACAATAAACAAAAATGTATCAGTACTCGTACTTGTAAGTACTCGGCAAGTACCAGTACCAGTACTCGCAAAACTGGTATCTGTGCATCCCTTTATTTATATTTATAAAAACAAAATTGTACATTAAAACAGAGATGTACAAATCCCAGGAGCTCCGTGTGCTCCTTACAAATGACAGCGGCCTCCTAACTTTTGAATTTTTCTCTAGTGTAGTCTTGAATATCAAAAGTATCGGTACATGTACTCGTACTTGTACCGAGTACTGTACTTGGTATCTGTGCAACCCTAATCTCCGGGGTCCATTCTTAAGGGGTTCCCCACTGTTGTTGAGAGCAGCCACACCGGAGCCACTACTTCCTCTGATTTTCCTTCTGATGAGATAAATCCAGCACTTCAATATCACTTGTTTTAGCAATAAAAACCTGACAGAGGTCTATACATATATGCTTGGCTCTGATGCTTTGATTCCTGACCCGGAACAAGTATAGTCAAAGGAATTAGTACAGCTTTTCTTTGAGTTCGTGCATAACTTGTTGTGGGTCCATGACTTGTAGGTATTGGAACCAGACAAGGACAGGCAAGTACAATGTTCTGGACTGCGATGTCAGCCCCCAAAATCCTCTAATAAATAGAGTTGAGCCTAAAATCTGGATAGCATTCGATTCGGACAAAATGCAAATGCATTTTCTTTTGTTCCAGTTCAGATTCCCAAAAGGCTTCTAATAGAAAGGGACAAAAGGTGCTCCAAAGGATGGTTCTGCCTATCATGTCATCAGGCTGCCAGTAGCTTCCCAAACCAAACTACAGGAGGGGGCGGAGACAAGACCAGTCACCCTGCACAAGGAGAGAGAGCAGCAGTGAGCGGTCTTTATTACAGAAAGCTCCAAACTTCATACTGGATTACTGCACAGATCTGGAACAAATACACAAAGCTTACCAAGTGTCAAGGAAGAACACACATGACTCTTTTATGAGGACAATATTTGTGTGTGTATATATTTGTAAACTCTATAATTAAAATAAATTTTTAGATGACATTTACTTTGTAGGTACTGACTCTAATGGGTACCTTATGTTTTCTTTGCCTGCAGACATCTCCACTGTACCAGAAACTACATCCACCTGAACCTCTTCACCTCTTTCCTCCTGAGAGCCATCTCCGTCTTTATTAAGGACTCCGTTTTGAAGTGGATGTATAATATCGCCATATATGACAACCAGTGGGAGGGGCTTATCTCCTACCAGGTATTGCATGACCTCCAAACAGTGTATATACATATGTAGGTGGGTTGGCTAGTTCATATTGGGTAATGTTTCCTTTGGACTATACAGGAACCCACTGCCAACAGCAATAAGACGGACCTTAGGTCTCTCATTCTATAGTCTGCTCTTAAAATGTTTGACATTTTATTGCCATTGGTTTTCATATGTGAGGGTAATGCCGAGCACTCCTATATTATTTGGAGATCACTTTGACCTTAAATTGATATTTTGGCTTTGGATGGGTGCGGCCTGATAAAGTCACCAGTTTCTAATGGTTTCTTATCAGCTCTGAACTGAAATATCTCTCTAAATATTTCACTTGTTGTTCTTTCCAGGAAACATGGATTGTAAGAGTTTTCTTTCTAATTAAAAAACCACGCCAGGTCATTTTTGCACTAACAAAATCTATATCTGAGATTGCGAATTTACACCACCTTATTTGGCAGAAAAGAATTGACCATAATTTACCTTAATTCTTTATCTGGTGTGGGTTTTTTTCCGATTTGACAATTGTCTTTACCTATTTTTTAATTGTTTTCCAGTTCTATATTCCAATGTTCCCAATTTAAATTGAAGTATGACTTACAAGGTTATTCATAAAAGGGTGAAGAGTTTGGAGAAGGCAGGAGAAGCGAACAATCTCGGACAACATAGCTGAACTGGAAAAATTATCCAATTCCGCTCACTTTCCAGTTCAGCTATGTTGCCCTAGATTGTTCACTTCTCCTGCCTTCTCCAGAATCTTCACCCTTCTGTGAAGAGCCCTGTTAGTGGTGACATTGGGGTAATTGTGATATAAAAGGCATTTTATTCTGTTGATCTTCATAAATGGGCTCCATAGAAGGCAAATGATGAATAGCAGGCAGGATGGCTGTGAAATTGGCATTGTCATCTTTTGCAGGAGTCGCTCAGCTGCCGGTTGGTGTTCGTCATGATGCAGTACTGTGTGGCAGCCAACTACTACTGGCTCCTGGTGGAAGGGATCTACCTGCACACCTTGCTGGTCGTGTCAGTCTTCTCTGAGCAGAGGCTTCTCCGTGTCTACATATGCATTGGCTGGGGTGAGTAGGGTGCGCAGTCTCTGATCCGCGTGTTCTGTGATGCCACTTTTCTGGCAGGCTAGACTGGGGGTCTTTCTGACTGATAGATGTGAAACTCCTGTAATATGTAGTACTAGAATCCTGGAAAACATTCACTGTTAATTAAATTGTCCATCAAGTAATCCTTCCTACCTCTGTCAATGCATCCCTCTACCTACCCTCCTCCTTGTTCCCACAATCTTCACTCTATGTCCTTTCCCAGCACTGCATATAATTTGCAAAGAAAATGCACCAGATGGCTCCTCTTCCTACTGTGCATGCATGGCGTGGCCCCAGCCGTACTCATGTCAACCTCAAGCCATCCAACGGACTACTGCTTATTCATAAGAATGAATGTTGCCATGGCACAATAGGCTCAATTTAATTGATTTGGGGAGGGTTACTTAAAGCTGATGTGTAACTCATATAGTTCCTTCTCTTGTTCCCTCCCCCTGATGAACATGCAATTACAAATTTTCAACCAAATAATTTTATTTTTAATAAATACTTTGGCTGAGACCATGTGATATCATCACTGGGTGCATCTGCTGACATTTGCTCCAGGTTTGGTGGGAGGGGCCAGCAAGCTCCTGTACATCACAGCACCCTGCATCAGATCTTCTTTCAAGAGCAGTATATGGGAGAACTCACCCCTTTTATGTTCCTCCTCACTCACCACTGGGTGCTGCTTGGTTAAGCTGTGCAAACTACGAATCAGTTGCTTAAGCATCCTTGTCCAAAGGGATGCCAGGGATTTGTTCTTTCATTTTGTCCTTTCATATAATGCTCAGAAGCAAAATGATTGGTGGCTGTGACAGATGTGCAATGGCAGTACAGATCAGGAGGAGAGGCGATTGATGATGACTGAAGTTTTTTGGCCCGCACGACATCAGGGGGACCCCTTTGTTCCTCATCCTGGTCGGGCCCCCCTGTGCCCGGGCCCCATAGTGGCCGCCTGGGTCGCTATGGCGATAGATCCGCCACTGGTAGGCACCCTCCAGAAGCAAGGACAGTGTCAGCACCAATTCAGAGATGATTTGAGGATCTACAGCCGAGCGATACACAAATAAGATAAATTTTTGTTAATAATTAAGGGACTTGAACGCATTTTTAAGATTTAACTTCTGAGTTTAGTGTCACTTTCAGCCCGGAATTGTTTGCTAAACCAAGTTTACATTCTAGGTCAGTCAAGGGTAATAAAAATTCGTAGAAACACAAAGTTCCCTAAACAATTATTTATTTATCGGGAAACTTTTCCATTACCGTGTAAATCAAAGATCTAGAACTCATTATGCAGCAGAATTCGGTCACAGCAGCCTCAGGAAAAGACAACGGTCACACAGCAAATGCAACTGTTTATCATCTGTTATCGCCCCGTTCTGTGCCGATCACCGCGGGGAAATTATCTGCGTACAAAACCCACGCTTTACAAACTGATGCTCAGCAGATAATAAAAAGGTAAAAGTTCCCCCTGGGGCTGTAGACGTCTTCTTCAGATACGGTGTGGCAGCGTGGCCAGGGCCATGAACTCTCACCGTCTGTGGGAGTGCGGTACAATGGAACCTTCTGGAAACATCTAGAGATACAGTAAACATTTTAAGAGAACATTAATGAGAACATTTGGGGAAGGGGGTGTTTATAAAGCGGTTTTTGCACATTTTTTGATGCAGCCTCACTGCAGAAATGACTATATCTAATTTGAAGGTAGGCTTTCTCTGTACTCATCTTTGTTTGTCATTCTTATGGCTGTAAAGTAGCTGCCTTATGGAGTTGGGGGATGCACTTTGGGATTGGGGGGGAGGGTGCACTTTTACATTGAGGTACACTATGGAATTTGTGGGTGTACTTTTGGAATGGCATATAGGGGTCCCACTACACTCCAGACCGAGAATGCTCCAACTTCCAATGGGGGAGGGGGGCTGAAATGACAGCTGATGGCACCGCTGGATCAGATAAACAGAGCAGTAAGTCACCAGCACTCCAAAGGTTCTCCAAGCAAAGTTCTTTTAATTCTGTGTGTAAAGTTACATCACCAAGGGTAGCAATATTTTGGAAAGTTTTGCCTGATGAAGGAACCGGATGCGTTCCTACAAGTTGCTACACTTGGTGATGTAACTTTACACATAGAATAAAAAGAACTTTGCTTGGAGAACCTTTGGGGTGCTGGTGACTTAATGTTCTGTTTACTTTGGGACTAGGGCATACTCTGGGATTCAGAGGTGCACTTTGACATTTAGGTACACCATGTAATTGGGAGGGGGCATTGGGATAAAAGCACACTTTGGGATTGAGGAGTGCACCTTAAAATTGGAGGGCATACTCTGGGATTCGGGGTACAGTATAGAGTTGTATTTTGTACTTTGAGTCTGAGGATTGCACTTTGGGATGGAGTGAATTATGGAATTCTCAGTGCGCATTGAGATTAAGGAGTGCACTATGGAATTTAGGAGAACGCTTTGGGTTTGGGGGGTGTACTTTGGGATTGGGGCGGCACGATGGGATTGAGAGGTGCAGTTTGGCATTTAGGTACACCATGGAATTAGGGGGTGTGGTCTGAGATTGAAAACACACTTTGAAATAGGGGGCACACTCTGGGATTGAGAGGTGCTCTTTGACATTTAGGTACACCATGTAATTGGGGGGTACTTTGGGATTGAAAGCACAATTTGGGATTAAAGAGTGCAGTTTAAGACTGGAGGGCATACACTGGGATTGTGGGTACACTATACAGTTGTTTTTTTTTTACTTTAAGTATGAGGATTGCATTAAGGTGTTGTGGGTGCACCTTGAGACTCAGGAGTGAACTATGGAATTTAGGAGAGCAGTTTGGGTTTGGGGGGCATAATTTAGGATGGGGGAGGGGCACGACTGGATTGAGAGGTGCACTTTGACATTTAGGTATACCATGTAATTAGGGGGGAGGTTGGGATTGAAAGCGCAATTTGGGACTGAGGAGTCCTCTTTAAGATTTGGAGGTCTACTTTGGGATTGGGGGTGTATTTTGGGTCTAAGATTGCACTTTGGGATGGGGTGCATTAAGAGATTGTGGATTCACCGTGAGATTGGGGAGTGTACTATGGAATTTAGAAGAATGCTTTGGATTTGGGTGGTGTACGTTGGGATCAGGAGTGCACTTTGGGGTTGGGAGACACCATTGAATGGAGAAGGGCAGTTTGGCCTTTAGCTACACCATGGAATTGGGGGGGGGGGGGTTTTTTG